TATCCTTTGAATATTTTAGCGAAAATTTAGATGGATTTCGGCATGTAATCTCTGCACTGATCTTATTTCCTTTGTGTGAATAAACTATTAATTTAATTTTAAAATACGATTTAACATAAATATTTAAAAGATAATATGTATTTATTGTTTTGTTGTTGTTGTTTTTGTGCTCAATCGACAATTTAAGATTTTATATATATGATGATATTTATTATTCATTATTTTAACTATTTGATTTTTTACGAAATATGATTTGTAAGTTATACTTAACTCTTTTAAAATATGTATAATGTAGCATAACAAAGAAAAAATATTGTATTACCATAAAGATAGTGATGTTCATAATACAAAGATTTGTATGGGGTTCTCCCATCAAAACAAATAAAGATTAAAATAAAAATATATAATCCGTAGTACAGGCCCCTTTTTAACAAATTATTAACATCCGCCTGAAACTTTGTTAATAGCCTTATCTCATCTTAACATAATTTTGTTTTTTTTTGTGAAAATTCTCGTAATTGGGGCGTTGTCAATCTGGAGATCGGCAAACTTTGGCTATTTAGTTAGGTACTACAAACTTATGAATACCCATTTTCCAATGAAATCGTAAGATAATATCATCAGGAAATCGAAAAAAAAAAAATGCCTACAAAAATATTGGGCAATCTCGCCTTTATACCTTCGTTATTTTGGCATTTTGTGGGTGGAGGTCAAGACCCAATATTTTTATAAGTCACATTATTTTTTTCTATTTTGTGATGATTTTATCTTACGATTCAAGTGGAAAGCAAATGCGTATTTATGAGTTTTAAGTACCTTATCAAACAGACAAAATTTGCCGATCTCCAGATTGAAAACACCCCAATTCCTAGAATCTTCGCAAATAAAATATTTGTAGGTTACAATTGAGATAAAGGTATTAACGAAGTTCCAGGCTGTTATTAATTTGATAAAAATGGGTCTGTACCAGGGACTATTAGGTTATGACCATAGAGATAAACGACCAAAAAGGATTCTTATTTTATTTAGAAAAAGGACAGCTATCCTTCCCTAGCACAATAAGCCACCGTTAAGCTCTAACCGTTCTTCCTCAGCAGTCCTTAGATATATCTTCTTGAAAGTTAGTTGGATGAGAGATAAACCCGAGTCTTACTTAGACCAGGTGATGGTGTGTTTGGTGGCCACGCTTAGTGTGAGAACATAATGAAAATTTTGGCCAAAATTCTGAATTGTATCCTTCTTATGTTTGTCATTCCGAAATAAATCCCAGCCAAATGTTTTTTTTTAGAACTTTACACTCTGATTAATTCTCCGATTTCCGTTGAAGTACACTCACGATCATAAAAATCGTATCCCCTAGCATATACCTGCCTTAAATTACACAAAATAACCTATTTGAGCTAGCTATTGCGCAATTGCGCTATATCCGCTGTTGAGCGTTGTCGGGTTGATTTTAACTGGGATTAATTCCTCGCCTTCTCCCCTGGCTCAGTAAATCTCTGTATAACCGAAAAGGCGAGGATAGTATACAAATAAAAATAACTAGTTAATATATTCCACGGTTCTCCTTGCTCCACAGCCGTCACCTATCGTGCAGGCCTTGGCTCCCCTATTACTCCTGATTGCTATAATAGCACCTGACTGTGTCCCTCTTTTAACAAGTCTGCAATGTGTATCGAGTGCACCAGCACGTACCAATCAACACCCATCGTTTATGGTAACTATCTTTGAATGGTATGTGCGAGGTCGATGCAAAACTTTGCACTAAATGATTGCTCAAATCGATGAATCGATTTTAATCCTTATTGATGTTAAAAATGCCTATAGGTTATTCTATAGAAACCTATAGACTTTTACCTAAACGTAGTATTGAAAAAATATAATAACATTGAACATAGTTTGGCCATGTTTATTGTGAAAATTTTAAACCAGAAAAATGTCTCCAATCGATCAAAATTCAAGCTTTGGTTGGTCATTCATCTGACTTTGCTCTAAAAACTATTACCAAATTTATGAACACAATTGGATGCTTGAAATAGTATTCATCTGATAAAGTATGTACGTAAAGTAAAAAAACTAAGATGTGTGGTTTAGACCACAAGATGTTAGTGAAGACAGTATACTTGTCCGATTTTTAGTATCTGAAATATTTTAATCTATATCTTCAATAAAACTCGTTATCATTTTGTTTTTAACACTATTTTTCCTATTCGCCTTCCTAACACGGCTTCACGTTAAGATACAATTTGAATTATAGTTTATTGCAAAGAGGATGAAATATTGAACAATTTATTTACAGTGTGCAGGCTCGATTTATAGTTTCTGAGATATTTTAATCCATAAGTAAAAATATTTTAATTAGTCTATTCTAGCCGACTTCACAAAAGCGTTAATGCCGATATCTGACAGATTAATCTAATTCACTCTTCACAAAAAAAAGAAAGGCATAATTTTTTTGCATCCCTTTTCTTTTCATTCACTTCCTTTCCTTCCCTCTCTCGCCAAAAAAACACACAAGTACCACATGGTACTGGATTTTTTTTTGTTTGGGGCGAAATTAGAAAAAAAGTGTATGCAAGTCAATGACCTTACCTTAATTCACGGGCGGATCTACGGAGGAGGAGGGGGGGGAGCTTTCGGGCTGAAGCCCCCCCAAAATGGAAAAATATAACCATGCTTTATGGGAAAATTTTTTTTAAAAATACCTCTTAAAGTATTATTGTTCGTATTATTACATTTAAAAGTACTTAAGGAATAACTTAAACACCATTTCATATAGGTAGTTAGTTTCTTTCTGTTTTTCCAAAGTAATTATCGTTATTTTCATGAAAAAAAAAAAGGTTTCGGGCTGAAGCCCCCCAAAATGGAAAAATATGATCATGTTTTATGGGAAAAAAAATTTAAAAAATACCTCTTAAAGTATTATTGTTCGTGTTATTACATTTAAAAGTACTTAAGGAATAACTTAAACACCATTTCATATAGGTAGTTACTTTCTTTCTGTTTTTCCAAAGTAATTATCGTTATTTTCATGAAAAAAAAAAGGTTTCGGGCTGAAGCTCCCCTCAAAATTAAATCCTGGATCCGCTAATGCCTTAATTCCTTAAGAAGAAGGATAATTGAGTCTTCTGAAACAATAACAGATATCCAGTGCCGTTCTGCCACTGCTGCTGTGGAAGAAAGATGCCGAGCCTGTCTTAATACTAAAGGAAATTACTTTGAACAACATTTAATATGAATGTTAATGTTTTTTTTATTATTATTTCTTAATGATATTTAAAACTGTATTAAAGAAATAAATTCAGTAAATTTGAAAATATGGATAAAATGACGTGAAAACACTTGCTGAGTAACTACCCAATGGTAGCACTCTAACGATATGTCTACATTAGGAGATCACGGGGCCATCTTCTTTTCACATGTCTCGGAGAGTTATCAGGAATTGAAGAGGAAGCGATAGGGTTGGGATGATTCTGAACAGTTGATGTCAGTTTAATTATAATATCTCCTAATTATAATATATAAAATATCTCCTAGTTTACCTCTACTAATAAAGATTATGGAAGGATAAGTATCTGGATTGTGCCAGATCTGAAACATATGGATCATTAAGGTCTTTATGGATGGTTTTATTTGTAACAAAGTATGGAGTATTGAGGATTTTACGAAGGATTTTGGATTGTAAGGATTGGATACGAGAGGAATTCGATGGTTTAGTGGAGCCCCATAGCTCAACTCCGTAAGTCTAAATAGGCTTTATTATAGTCATGAATATGAGTCTTTTGTAATTAATTGGAAGTTTAGAGCGTTTGTCTAGTGTTGAAATAACCGAAAACGGTTTCTTGTCGTTTCAATCTGGTATGAGAATGTTAATGTTAACGTTTAATTAATAAAGTAGTTAGAAGAAATAAATAGGTTTTATTTATTTCGTATAACGTAAATAATTCATGACAACGAAAATCTTTAGGTGTGAATATCTCCTAAATAAAGGAGGTCCCTACTTCATTTTTGCACAGTTTGACCACTTAACCCTGAAACACCGTGTATAGGCAAAAACTCGAAAAAAAGTGATCTTGGTACCTCCTCCCTACATCTAGCTCACCACCTAGGAGTGGGGACTTTTTAGTCCAAACAATGTACCAAAGTCAAAAATTGTGTCCCCGCCATTTCCTTCTATACCTCCATAGACTGATGGGGGTTATAGCACTGTACTCCCACTACTGAGAAATATTTTCTTCGTCCGAAATCCTTTGGAAATACTTCTGTAGTGATCTACACTGTAGTGATCTACTTCTGTATTAAATGTGGTCCTCCGTATCTAAGAAATTGTGAGTCAATATTGTCTCGGTCTGAAGCTTTCCCCATTTTCATCACTGCCTTTTCAAGCTTCTTATCTTAACTCGGGTCATTTCATTCTTTTCCCGCCTTGGGTTCCCCATCAGGATTATCGCTCAACCTAAAACAATTTATTTATTTTCATAAAATAGATAATGTTATTTTAAATTAATTGAATGAATTATAACACAAACTGTAATAACAATACAATTTTTATTAAATGAAACACTTCAATTTCATATATATATATATATATTATATATATATATATATATATATATATATATATATATCGGCCACAACCCGCCCAGCATTCCCCTAATTCATTTGCTGTATAAATAGGATAAAGTTAATCATTCTTATACACGTTGAATAAAAATTATAGACATCGAAATAAAAGTAAATATATAGGTATACAATAGAAATGTAAGGTAGCTCTGATTTTGCTTAGCAGACTTTCTTTTTTATTTAAAAAAATATAGTAATCAGAATAGTAATGCTACTAATCAATTTTGGTAATATATTATTAAACAGAAAATTATGTTTGAGCCCCACTCCCAAGCCTTGGTCCAGCCCTCCCCCCCCCCTCTAGTCCACACCACACACAGACAGATATATATCCTGTCCGCCGTCCAACTTCCTCAAGTCCTTCCTCACTTCCAGTCATGGCCTCCTCGATCAGCTTCTGTCTCTTCTTCTTCTTCATCTCGGCGACTTTGGCTGAGCTACGTGAGTCAAAATACAATTTCACTCTTAATACGAACTAAAATCTGTAAACAATCTGGCGAGCGCATCATACGACTTTCACTTACCACACTCTTCTTAGCAGAAATAAGTATTTTCAGACAAGGGGAAGTGAAAATAAAAATGATAGACGCTGTATTTATTTACATTTTATTGTGGGTATTTTTATTTGTTTAAATACCCGTATATAGACAAATTTTAATTTTTATATCACTTTATTCTATACAATTACATATTAAATATCAACAATAGCATATATGAGAACCGTACATAAAATTGTTGGAGTCCATATTATATTAAGCTCATGTTACGTATGTACTCGGGCGAGCTCGGATGCGCTCGTATTTGGTTCTTCCATTACAACTATTATCCGTTACGATCTCTTCTATCTCCTTTATTTAATTATATAATTCTTTCATATTATATATTTTACTATTTTTTGTGTCAAAGACTAATGTGAAATGGTTAATTATTTCAAATGAAAAAAATTAAAGGTACTTTAGAGGAGGCTAATATTAACAATTAGCCATTTAAGCTCTGTTAGAGAACATAAATTAGAATAAAATCTACATTATATTAAAAACTACTTAATAATACACTGATATACTGAGTTTAATCTAAATCTTTAAAGCCGTTTTTGAGAAAATGGTAAAAATTAGTTAAAGAACGGCTTTTCGCTTTTGAGCTAGGCTGTTCACATATATACACATACAGACCATTTTGCGGGACTTGGTTATTTGGACTCATGAGACCTCAAACGTGTATTTCCGTTGAAAACTCAGATCGAAAATTTTTACGATCGCAATACTTACCCTTACTATATATTACATACATAAGTAAGTGAAAGTAAAAAACATTCTCAGGTTTCATACTCAATGTCTTAAATTTTCTGGAATCATCATACTTTATATTCATTTTCCGTGATACAGACCCCTTTTCACCAACTTATTAATATAATCAAAATTAACTTCTGATAACAAACCAGTCATAACTATCTAAAATATACAACACATAAAGCTACCTTTCAAATAAAACCTATGTATGTCTAGGGTATACATGATATGTATATATATTTTTTTCATACTATTTTTCATTTGTCAACCCGGTTTATGTACATATTTCGGTGTATGTGTATGTATATTTCAACATAAATTGAAATTTTCTTTTACTCATAGGTTTGTTGCTCAATTGTTGGAGGACCATATTTTGTATTCTGTTTTTTTTTTTGTTTTTTTTTTTGCTTTTTTAACATATTTCTTTTGTATATTATATTCTTTAAGCTTTTTAACTATGAAGCGATTATTTTATTTAATAGTCTTTTTAATTTCTTATCTGTATTATATGTAATTGTAATATTTTGTAAATAATCTCACTGATTTGATTTGTATATATAGTTTATTTACGTAAAGCTTTTATATAGTTTATCCAGCTACTTTTTTAATGTAACTAGTTTTCTGGTGGGATGTTGTTCTTTTTTTTCTGTAATATTCTGTTATTCTTAAGGGACTTCGTCTATTTTCTATTTGTATTTCTATAAGCTCGTTATTTTGGTATGTTGGCGCTGGAGATAACGCCAAACCACCCAATATTTTTGCAGGCCACATTTTTTCTATATTTTGTGTTAGAATTATCTTACGGTTCAAGTGGAAGACTAATGAGTATTCATGAGTTTTTAGTATCTAATTAAATAGACAAACAATTTGATAAAAGGGGGTCTGTACTGCTGTGCTATTTATTCAGTGGATGAGCTAAGATTCAATTAACAACTTTGCGCACACAACTGTAATAAAATTCGTTTGAGGGGACATTTTTAACAGACTTCATTTAAATAAAATGCCTCTAAATTTAATATAGTTAAATTATTTCATTGTTATCATATTTTACTTTCACTCGACTATAGATGAAATATATAATCAATAAAGGTATTGCAATCGTAAACAATTTTGGATCAGAGTTTTCAACAGAAATACAGGTTTTAAGGTCAGCCAGATTGCAAATAAACAAATCAGGTAAAATGGTATTTGTGTGAGACTGCGATTAGATTATTCAAAATCAGCAAAAACAAAATTTGTATATATATATTAAGACATAACAACACTAGCGGACCCAGGATTTAATTTTGGGGAGGGGGCTTCAGCCCGAAAGATTTTTTTTCATAAACCTTCATAAAAATAATTTGAAAAAAAAAAGAAAGAAATTAACTACCTATATGAAATGGTTTTTAAGTGGTTCCTAAAGTCCTATTAAATGTATTAAACGAACAAGAGTACTTTAAGAGATAGTTTTTTATATTTTTTTCTGTAAAACATGGCTATATTTTACCATTTTGGGGGGGAGGGGTTTCAGCCCGAAAGCCCCCCCGTAGATCCGCCTGTGCATAATAATAATAATAATAATAATAATAATAATAATAACTTTGTCTGTTAGCTGGCTGGTAGGAGGAAGTCTGTTTCCCGAGACTGAAGGTTTTTTAACTGCAATCCAGGACCAGGTTATAGCTACCAGATCCTACTGGCGACACGTCTTGAAGCAACAGAATGTATCGGACAAATGTAGGCTCTGTGCAAGCACATATGAGTCCATTCAACACATAACTGGAGGCTGCGGAGCTCTTGCAGGTACAGAATACCTAAAAAGACATGACGATGTTGCCAAAGTCTATCACCAGGCAATTGGTCTAAAAATTAAATTATTAAACGACTCGAAGCCCTACTATAAATATTGCCCTAAAGGTATTTGCCAGAAAGATGACTTAAAATTATATTGGAACCAATCGTTCATAACAGACCATCTCGTGATCCACAACAGACCTGATATTGTATTAATTGACGGTAATATTAAGGTGGCTGAAATTATAGATATCGCTGTGCCAAATGACGGAAACATTAACTCAGTCTGCGCAGAAAAAATTCGGAAATATCAAGGTCTAGCAGCTGAGTTAAAAAGTTTGTATAAACTTCATAAAGTAACCGTTAGGGGCATCGTGATCTCCAGCAAAGCCTGGTACCGGTGTCTACTGTGGAAGCTACTGACAGGCTGGGCCTCCCAACTCATGTAATAAAGGAAGCTCAGAAAGCGGTGCTGCTGAATACTGCCAGAATTGTAAGAAGCTTTCTCAACATTCAATAGTAATTAAAATTGAACATACCTGAGGTGGTTGGAGTTGATTCTCCCCCTCTCAAGTAAACAAAAAAAAAAAAAAAACCTTTTGTAAAAGTGTTGACAAATAAAATAATAATAATATATATATTATGCACAGGCGGATCTACGGGAGAAGACAGGAAGGGAAGAAAGGAGTTGTGCAATAAATGGATCATTTTCCATTTCATCAAATTCCATTCTCTATTTTCATTTACGGGTGCAAAAAGGTTTAGTCCGTGGTACAGACCCATTTTTATCGAATTATTAACATCCACCTGAAACTTCGTAAATAGTTTCATCTCATCGTAACCTACAACTATTTTATTTACGAAAACTCTTGGAATTGTGGCGTTTTCAATCTGGAGGGGGCAAACTTTGTCTATTTAATTAGGTACTAAAAACTCGTAAATAGCCATTTGCTTTCTACTTGGATCGTAAGATAATTTGATCACAAAATCGAGAAAAAAGGTGGACCTTCAAAAATATTGAGCCGTTTGGCGTGACCTACACTCCCAAATTTTCAAAATAACGAGGTTATATTGGACAAACGGCCCAATATTTTTGTAGGCACTTTTTTCTCGATTTTGTGATCAAATTATCTTATGATTCAAGTAGAAAGCAATGAGTATTTACGAGTTTTTAGTATCTAATTAAATAGAAAAATTTTGCTTCCCTCCAAATTGAAAATGCCCCAATTCTTAGAGTTTTAGTAAATAAAATATTTGTAGATTACGATGAGACGAATTACGAAGTTTCAGGAAGATGTTAATAATTCGAAAAAAAAAGGGTCTGTACCACGGAATAATATAGTTAATTAAATTATAAAGATGCTCTAATGTCAATTTCATTAAATTCCATGCATCCACTTTCGGATGCATATTATCACAATAAACCGATATAACAAAAATAACTCATTTAATTTGGTCTAAAGTTGGAAGAAATTTGGGAAATAATATAAAAATGTAGTGGTATCACTTTTATTGATTTCCAGATAACAATTACACTTAATGAAATTATTAATAATTAATAGGTCAGTGCGAAAAAATCGCACAATATATTTTTAAGTGATTAAATACCAAATTAATAAGAAAATAAAATAATACAACGTATCAAAAGATACAGAAATCAATTGTTACTTTATCGATAAAGATAATCGACAAATGAAACAAAAATTAATTTAAAAGTTCATTAATGTTTAGAACTAACATGTTTACTAATTTCAATAAACTGTATCTTTTCTAAAAATTGTCCGATTTCGATGATTCTTGTTTTCCTTTTGTAGGAAATTTATTAATATTTTATATAATCATCTTGTGTCGACTTGCTATTCCCGTTAGAATCTGAATCCAACGGTGCAAATACGATTTATGGTATTTGAGCATAACAGGAACTTATATTTGGTACAAACCCGATTTAGAGCCTTACTGTAATAATATATGTGGAGATATAATGGTGAGTTAGCTATTTTGATTTAGTTGCTACACTTTATATTTTATTAATTGAAAAATTTACAATTGCTTGAATTTGTCTGAAATCGGTAAAAGTCGATCTGAAAAGTCGCGATAGTGAATATACGAGTTTTTTTTTTTGGTATTGATGATAAACGCAATTAAATAAAATTAAATGTTCCCTTGACAGATAATTGTACCCAATTTCATCTATTATTCGGTGACAAGATGATTAAAGATGAATGGACGATCCCATAGATCTCTTGGACAAATTCGATCTCATAATTTGCAAGTCAATAAGGATATTAGTGTGATGGATATCCGTGGATAACTATTCGATGCGTAGGTACATTCGGTCATGACCTCACGCTAACGGCAAACAGTGGGACGACAGAC